ACAAGCACAAAATAGTTAGGAGGCCAGTGCCAGAGACTGATCCAGTGCTGAAAAAGTAAATGTATTTAAAGAAATCTTTACTGTTAATTTTTACATTTTCATCCAACCTTTTATCATAAATCCTTTCTGATATCCTACTTTCCTGTTTCCCCAACTTTCTTGATCTTCTAAATCTCCTGTCATACCAGTCAATCTAAATTTCTTCAATTTGTGATGCTTTTCTTTAATTTTATCTCTTAAGCTCTTTGTGAGCCAAACTGGATATTTACTTGCAGCTACCCTTTTATTTCTATAAGGAATATGTTTACCTTGGACAGTTAAAATTTTTTCACATCTGATCAGTGTCTCTAAATAACTTAACTGCCCAATTCACAACAGATAATTCTTATGGGATCCTGTCAAAATTTGATTTTTTTTTTGCAATTTTTAACCAAAATGTCATTATTCCTTATCTCCATATGAAGCAAAACATTGAATCTAATAGAACAATTATCACCTGCACCCAGATGTTCCCCAATTTCCAACCTCTCGATCATTTCTAAATTTGAAGTTAACATTAAATCAAAAAATAGCATTGTATCTGATAGGTTCCTTGACTAATTGGTGAAAAAAATGATCTTGAACAGTTTGACTTTAGCATTTCCTAATCTATATGCCTGAAATTAAAATCACCCATAATTATTGTAAGGTTTCTCACTAATTGCATCAGTATCATTTGGTGGTCTGCAACAAATTCCCAGTAAAAGCCTTTCCCTTTATATGCACTAATAGAAACCCAAATGGATTCAATCTCTCTGCTATTATCTTTAATGTCCTCAACTTCAACAGGATGTAACTCACATTTTACATATAAAACCACTTCCCCCTCCCCTTTAGTACTCTATTCCTACTAAACAGCCTTTAACCATGTTTCAGTTATTTTCATTATATTAAAATACTCCAATACTACCAGTGCTATTTTATTCTATTTCTTATACTTCTAGCATTACAATTGTCAATTAAGTCTACCCTTATAACTACTTCTATACTCATTTCCTATGCTGAACTTTTCTCTGTCTCTTATTCTTTTTGCAATTAGTTTATCCTGGCCCTCAGCACTGTCTAGTCCTAGTTTTAAACTTCCCTTACAGCTGTGTTAATATCTGTAGCAAACAAGCCAGCCCCTATCTTATTTAACAAGTCCCTCAGGAGCCAAGAGTTGTCTTTACACCACAATTTGTTGAATACTAAAAATAAGTTCAATCCAGAAACTCCCAAAGAGGTTGGTTTTGGATGTATGTTTTCGAGATAACTTCAAGACAAGTTTTATATTTTAATTGATAAATTTTTAAGTGAAATACAGCATCCTCAAGTTTCTATACTAGCCAAGTAACTAAGGTCTACCTGCTGGGAGTAAATTCAGTATATGTCAATAAAGCCACATTCTCAGCATTAATTAATGTTATATT